GTGAAATAAGTTAATCAGAGAAAGACATGTATCATATGACCTCACTGATATGAGGAATTCTTAATCTCAGGAAACAAACTGAGGGTTGCTGGAGTGGTGGGGGGTGGGGGTGATAGGGTGGCTGGGTGATAGACATTGGGAGGGTATGTGCTATGGTGAGCTCTCTGAATTGTGTAAGACTGTTGAATCACAGATCTGTACCTCTGAAACAAATAATACATTATATCTTAAAAAAAAAAACTAATAATGTAATGTATGGTGATTAACATAACATAATAAAAAAAAAGTATATAATAAAAAAAAATAAAAGAGAGAACCAGAAACACGGGTTATAGTCCCACTTACGACATTTAACAGAATCGTGACCTTGAACACATCACTTTGCTTCTCTCTTAGAGCTTTTGGTCTCTGAGTTCCACTGTCTCACTAAGGTTTTGATCAATTCAGTAATTCAATCATCAGTTGTAGTTTTTACAAAATGATTCACTTAGAAGTGCTCTGAAACAGTTTGTTGATTAAACATTCTCCAACCCTGGCCATCTTGTTAACTCTATTCTTTCAGTCAGCAAATAGTAAACTTCAGCCCACAGTGTGTAAGAATGAAGCCAGGGCTTCTGCTGAACCAGCTCCGGTGAAATCTGCTCGAGCAACACTGTTAAATACCCAAGTTTGAAAGTCTCCAAAGATTCCAGAGTCGGAGTCACTTACATTCTTATGGCACTGGGAGTGCGGAGGCTATAAGTATAGAACACCATAGATGTTAGTAAGGTCTACATTTCTCAAATTCAAAAAATGAGAAAGTTCAGAGGCTAAAAGTAGAAAACAAAGAAGAGTTTTCAGAATGTCCTTAAGTTTCTAATTCAGACTTCCTAAGAAAGGCTGGAGGGAAGAGAGAGAATACTGCAAAAGTATGGAGAAACTACAATAACGGTTGTTTGTTTGTTTGTTTGTTTTAAGATACTACACAAAGAATCTTTCTAAATTAGATTGTCAAAAGCTTTAAAAGTCAATAAACTTGAACTATTTCCCCCCCACATCAGGCAAAATCACTTAGTTGCTAATGACTACATGGAAACTTTCATAGAAGGACCCAGAAAGAAAAGTAGCATTAGGTAAATATCACTAAAGGCTATGTGTTGACAAGGTCCAGTTTAAAAGTTTCTCCCACTTTTTGAAGAGCTCAGAACAAATGTCCTGTTACAGCAGATGCTTGGAACATCCCTGATGTGCTGTCCCATCCTATACAAACTGAAAGGAATATAAGAGTCCTGATCAAATGGATGACCAAAACTGAACTAATGGGACAGAAGATTTCATATAGATATATATGTATAGATGCTGCAAAGACAGAGTACAGCTTGCAGAGATTTCAGACAGAAGTATAGGTCGCTGTGTCTTATCAGAGAGGTGACTTTCCATGTGAGACCTGAGGTCAGAAGAATAAACTGACTCAGGATCAACATAGCATTTGCTTCAAGAAAGCAGAGCCAAGCCAAGGGAAGCAACTGCCATCAGGCTTCCACCTTCTATGTTTCCATCCCCCACTCAATGACCTCTTCCTGTGTGCCTTCCGCCAAAGCACATCTTTGGAATTCACAGAATCTCAACAGATAACATAACCAAGGTGACATGTGACACCAGAAATATCATTTCTATTCTACTCTGTAACAGAGCACCAAACTAAGCATTTAAACTGAATAAATTGGCACAAAGAAACATATTCAAGGGCTATGGGTCATATAGCTACAGCAAATCAACTATATTACATGTATTTTCCATGTGTTTTCATTGTTAAACCTAATAATGCTCTTCTATATCCTAGTGCTTGCTTTTTACTCTTATGTTTATGTACATCATAAAAGATTTCCATCATTACCAAAAGGAACATCAAAGAAGTTTTAACTTGGATCAGCTGACTTTTATACAATGAGCTTCTCCATCTTAACACTGCAATATTATTTTTTAATAGGCTTTATTACTTTTGGGTAGTTTTAAGTTTGACAGCAAAATTCAGCAGAAGGTACAGAGATTTCCCATCTACCCATTGCCTCTACATCTTCCTCCATAAACAACCACCCCACCAGAGTGGTACCTTTGTTATACTTAAGGAATATACATTGACACATCATTATCACCCAAATAATTATTTTCAGTATATAATGCTTTTGGATTGGGTTTGAATGCTTTCCATACACATATACGTATGTGTATGTTTCATATAAGCTGCTGTTTTTCTTGGCATAAAACCTTTCATATCTTTGAAAGGATTAGAATGCATATGGAAAATGATAATGATGTCTGAGCCCTGGGATATTTTTGAGATCAAACTGAGAAAAAGGAAATGTACATTTAGAAAGATTTCAATCCCCACATACCTCCCACAATCCTAATCTGGGGGTAATCTACATCTAAATTTTCCTATTACATACATATTATCAGAAGCAAAAGTAAAAAATCATTCTTATTTTGAGACATATTTCATTAATAAGAACAACAGCATATCAGTTATAAACATTTAGAAAGTGTTTATACCCTAAAACTGAAACTACAGTAATACCATTAACTTGGTAAGGAGAGTAGACATTTGAATTTGGACTATTTATAAAAGCACCCCGGGCAAAAAACTGGGAGGGCTCACTCATGAACACTGAGAGTGACACCATTTCACACAGTATCTTAAAGGACTGCTCCTTTTCTTCATTAGACTGGTACACAATTCTACTGTTTATCTTATCAAAACTCAGATGTTCTCCAAAAGGTGTTCAGTATCTTCCACAAGGAAGAGAATTAATGACAAGAAGAGTCTTTATCTCCTTGTCTCTCCCATACAATTATCATTCCATCAAATTCACCTGAAAATGTGCTCAAATGCTTTATCCTAAGAGCCATTTCAGAAGTTCTCAGTGATCCAAGTACTAAAAACAGCATCATGGTTCTAGGGACTGCTAATCCTACAAACATTTAGAGCTACAAATGAATCCCTCTGCTCTTGAAATGTTAGAACCTTTCTGTTAAAGGTGAAATACAGCCCCAGTTACTAAACTTAGTGTTACCCCGAATAGTGGACCTCACTTCACTTTCCACATCACGGGGACCAATACAGTTTTAAAATCATGTTCCTCTCCTTCTGACTAGAGAGATATTGGGCCATTCATTTTTTAAAACAAATCTTCTGATCACTTTCATCAAGCACTTAAATTCCAAAACTTTGATGTGATGAGTAATCCTAATTTGAGCCGGGATTCTTTCTTTGTTCATCTAAGAATCCCCAACAAATTTGAAGCAACTTCTATTCTGAATATTTATGTTGACATAAATAAGTCATGGTTCATAAATCTTCAAATTATTCATGCTCTAAAGTGACAGCTTTCTAATGTGTACCACTTAGAACTTACGAATTCTTTAAGAATATTCATTAGCACAGGCTGTAAATGCAGTCTTAAATATTTATTTAGAAAAATTGTATAGTGATGTGGTTAGGAAAAAAAAAAATTGAAGTCAAACTGCCTGAGTTTGAATCCTGGTTGCTTCATTTATTAGCTATGAGGACTTAGGCAATTCTCTTGATTTTCCTGTGCTTCAGTCTCCTCATATGTAAAGAATGGACATAAATATGTGAGCACTTAGAATTATGCATGGCACCAATAGGAGGCCTTGGCAAGAGATTGTTGGGTAGGAATGGAGAGAGTACATATATCTCCCTGGCTGCTTCTTCACAGGGCTATGATTTGGCAATGACTATATTTCCCTACGTTATAGCTCCTTTCCAGTAATCCCTCTTTCTTGGCCTTAGCTCTCATTAGGTTTTGCTAACCAGCCCTTCTATATACTCTTCTTTAGACCAAGGAGGGTAGTAAAACCTTACAAGGCTATTGGTCCCTGGGGACCTCTAATCTTTCTTTTTTCTTAATCATTTTTTTATTAGATTCTCTCTAATTTTCTTTCTCTTATTTTGTCAAAACCTCAGTAAATAGCTCCTTCATTAGTTTCTCTTCATTAAATCCTTTCAAGTATGGCATTTGTCTCCTGCTTGGAGGTTAACAGATACTCACAGGGAAGACTGTAGACTTTATCCTATAGTTGATGTAAAGACATTCAAGATTTAAGTGCAGGAGGAACCAGGTTAGTTCAGCATTTTATTTTTCATCCTGATAACTGTGGGCAGGATGGATTTCAGGGGCCAAATACTTGCTTCAGAAAAATGTAGTAAGGAGGATTCTACAATTAACCTGGTAAGATAAGGTGACTGGCCAGAATAAAAATAGTGAGTATGGATATTTGAGAGATAAGATACTTGAGAAGCATTTAGGAGTTAAATTCCCTAGTACTGGTAATTGATAGAATGCAGATGACAAAGGAAAGGAAGGGATCAGAGGTGAAGGCCGGATTTCTACCTTAGGAAGTGACAGAGTGATTGATCATGCTTATGACCAATAGAACAGAAGTCCTGCCGAGCTACTGAATGCAAGAGTAGAAGTGATTTACCAGGGAACATATGAGCTAGTTTTCTCCATGTTGAGTCTGAGGTGTCTGTGTGATATAAAAGTGATGTTTAACAGGTAGTTATACATGTGAGCCTGAAGCCTGGGAAAAGACTTGAACTTTAGATGTTACTTTTGGGAATCATCAACCACCTTGGGAATGGTGTTGAGGAGCTCCACAGGCATCTAAAGTATGAGCAGAGGAAAGGAGGTTATGAAGAAAACAGAGAAGGAACGGCCAAAGATTTACAAGAAGGAAAAAAAAAATGATGTGCTCAGCCCAAAGGCCAAGGGAGCCAAGAGTTACAGGGAGGAAGGAGATATCAAGATTGTCAATTGCAGAAATATCAAATAATCAGTGTAGCTACTACAATACTATTTCACTACTGAGAAATAGCTACTAGTTTTGATGTTTTGATGCTTTTCTCACATTTTAAAAAATATTATGGACCAAGAAATGCTGGTGTTAATATCCAAAGCGCTGTTAAAATCTGTAAACATTTTGAAAAAAATATTTACCTTTTGATGTAAACCTAAATGGCACATGTCTTCCTTGGATATGCAAGGTTTTCCACCAGCTTCCCTAGAAGACAGGCAAATGAGCAGATCCCAAGAGCCCAAATCACCTATTAGCAAAAGAATATTGAAAAACAATTTTTTATCAGATTTTTGAAGGCACCATTTTTAGATTTAAGAATGTTATTATTTAAATCCTAAAACACAAGAAAAATGATTCTGAATATATTTAAAAGTCAATATTGGAAGTAACTAAAATTTTCAACTTCTCTAATTTAGAAACATTTTTATATTTAGTATTATATCAGGGAAAATTCACTTATCTAAAGCAATGTCATAAAACTCCTTTAAAAGACTAAAAGTTAAATGTTTTAGGTCACTAAGTTCATAAATTTATAAAGTCTTATTTGGAGATTGGGAGGAAAGATGATTATAAACTCTTTTAAGATAGGAGGTGATTGCAAAATCAAATAATGATAAGCCAAAACACCAAATATTTTGTTTTAGATTTTGGTATCACCATTACTTTTCACAAATCTGAAACAGATATACTTTTATATGATTTCTTACAAAGAAAAAGTGTGGTCAGCAGAAAATAAAGTTTAATGAAAATTTTAAAAAAACAGGTTTTGTCTAAAAGGAATTTGTAGTCTAGTTACAGATAGCAGAGTTGAGCTCAAAATACAGAGTATAACATGGACTAAAGTAAATGATATTTCAGGACAAAACTCTTTGCCAATAAATCTAGTAACTTGACAAAATAATCTCAAAAGAATACATTCTTGCATAATACTTGAACATTTGAAAATTAACATTTGTGTGTTATGAGTTTATTTTCCCTTACTCTCTTTGATTTATTTATATGTTTTTTATCAACATGTCTTGCATATAATTGGTGCTTTAAAGATATTTGTTATATGAGGGGCACCTGGGTGGCTCAGTAAGTTAAGCCTCTGCCTTTGGCTCAGGTCATGATCTCAGGATTCTGGGATCAGCATTGGGGTTCCCTGCTCAGCAAGGAGTCTGCTTTTCTCTCTCCATCTGCCTGTCCCCTACCCCCAGCCGCTTGTGCATGTGCTCTCTCCCTCAAATAAATAAATAAATAAAACCTTAAAAAAAATATTTGTTAAATGAATGAATAACTAGCCCACGAAAGGGTGGTAAACATGTTACTTTAGAGACAATATAGAAATAGGTATCTCAAAAATAACCAGAAAAAGAACACTAAATAATGTATGAAAGGATTGATATTACTTGGGAAAATTCCCTATTTTGGGTGGAAATCTACTTTTAAAAACTTAAGCAATTTCTATACACATGGCCTGTTTTGTTTATCAGTCCTGAGATAATGTTCCTTCATAAATATTTATGCCAGATCTCACAAGTCATCTCTTGCATTAGGTATTAGTGGCTTCTAAAAAGCTAGAAAATAACCAAATCTTAAAAAGTGTCTCACTTGAATACATAATGCTTTGAAAGAAGGGTTTTATAGAAAAAAACAAAAAAAGATTGATAAGGAAGAGTGACCTATGACCATCAGGAATGAAATTTCACTCTGCACTAATCAAATCCTTTACATGTTGACAAGCTCTATGCTCTCTGGGCTATTGGTTCTTCTGTTTGTAATTGTCCTGTTCCTAGAAGAGAAACCTCTCCACCAACAAAGGGACCCAGACAACTGAACTCAAGTTAACATGTGAGCTTTTGTCCTAGAGCTTCTCTGTCTGCTCAATTATCTCAAGATGCTGGAATATAGCACAATAGTTCAAAGGGACATGGAGAAATGATGCAGGTGATTTAGGGGTGGGAGAAATCTATGTAATAGCCATTGGCCTTAGGCTTGAAAGGTCTATGCTATTCCATGCATCCTCACTTTGAAGGAAACTCCAAATGGATTCCTGGAGCCAAAACCAAATACTCTATGATGATTCCACTACTTTATTGAAAATGTGCACCTGGCACTTTCAGCCAAAACCTTTTGATATGGATTCAAAAGGGAAAACACCAAGATGGTTTCATTTGATATTATTTCTAGCCCAAGAAACACTAAAACTCTAGAAGAAATCTGACATTATATACTCAACCAAATATTTTAAGAAGACAAGGATATGCAAAAAGAGGATTTCAAATCATGAACTGTATTGTTTGGGCATTAAAAACACAGTATTTTTTATATTCCTCCAAGTCTGACACATACTCCCCTTCCCTACCCAAGGCATACACACAATTTCTCAATTTGATTACAATATATATATTTAATCCATAAATGTTCAAAACTGGAAGACATGTTTAAATAATTCAAAGCATCTAATGTATTAAGAACCTCCTATGAGCAGGACATTGTACTGGAATTATGAGTGTAAATAGCAAAAACAAAAAAAAATACAGTCACTGCCCTCAACCATCTATGAGAGACCTAAATGAACATTAAAAAGAATTTAGGATAATTTATAAAGTGCCATACAGTTTCTTTATACAGACATTCATAAGGGTTACCCCTTACCCCTCAAAACTATTTAACAAATACTTCAAATTTAAAATTAATATTTCAAAAATACTTTATAGCACATACTTTTACCCTTAAAATGAAAGTAGAGCATAGCCAAAAATTTCAAGTAATCTCTTCAGATACTTCTTGCCTAATTCTTGCCACCACAGTCTGAAAAATGCTGATTGTTTCCACTCAACATTCCTATTGTTACCCTCACTGAGTCCTACCTCAAACTTCTAAATCTCTATTTCCTAGTTAAATCTTGAGTTTAATGGAAATGTATTTTAGATAAACACATTCAAGTTTATAATTTAATGCATATTTCAGTGTATTATTTCATTCAGTCTTAGTAATAAAAAATAAATTTTAAAAACTAAAAAAAAAAAAAATCTTGAGTAGACCTTTTCACTTTCTCTTCATTTCCATCTTGGACCTTAAAAGTCAACTCCCTCCCCTGATGCCCACAGCCCCTTTTTAAAGAAAAAGCTTTATTTGTTTTATGAGTGGCACCATGTATTCAAACTTGGTTTAAAAAACCCCAAAAGCCACACTGTAGTTAGAAACCAGACAGAGAAAAAAGCACATTTACTAGCTGAGAAAATCACATTCAGAAGTCAACCTTGGGTCATTTGGGAAACAAATTTGTACCTTAGCAAAATTACAAATTGCTGAATATTGTGGAGTTTTGGGGCTGTGCTCAACTCGCTGAAAGAAAGAGCAGTTAGGAGGCAAATGCCCCGGGAGGGGGAGGGTACAGCAGAGATTGCAGACTGCAGGCACATTGAGGGGGGGGCAGCCTGCATGTGGGGTGCATTTGGCCTGCATGATTATTGTTTTGTTTTTGTTTTAAATTTTAAGTATTTGCCATAATGCGAATGTCAGCATAATTCACATAAAAATCCAGATTTCTGTCTTCGTTTGAAAACTTGGAGGCTGTGGCGATACTGGGTCCATTTCCTACAAGGCAGAAGGCAGCCACTGACGGAGCTGAATACAGCCTCCTACATTTTCTCCTGTTTATGCCACGTGGCCCGGCCTGGCCCCAACTGCCTGGCTCTGCCACCAGGAGGCGAACAGTCCAAGGCCTGGTGTAAAACACTGTGTGTCAGGCATGAGTTGCTCATTCAGCACGTTGATGTTCCACGCTTTAGCTTTCAAATGAATTAAAGTTGTTCATTAGGTAAATTGGTCTTGTTAAGATGACTGTAGGCAAATTGATATTTGGTCAGTTGGTCTTAAAAGGATATCTGAACACACCATTTGATCTCCAGATTTGGCCACCATGCTCTCCCACAAGGCTGAGTAAGGTCATTTCAACTCCAAAGACATTTTACTGGCTGTTAAAGTTGGTAAGGACTGAAGTGTGGTCTCTTAGATTAGTTCTTTCTCTCAGGAGCCTGGAAAAATCATAAGTGGTCTGTGGACATCTTTTTCACTTATGTCTCTTCTCTCCAGTTGGACCGGTAGAGAGACCCAGGTATCATTCCTAGGTGGGCCTGCTCTCATCTCTTTCTCATCCACAGTTTCTCTTTGGACTCTTTTATGACATTCAGCCTGTCTCAGGGCTATTGCCATAGTTTTAAGTAGCCTATGACAGGGTGGTTTTTTTTTTTTTAGGCACTGGGGCAAACATTCTGTATGTTGGTGTTATTCAGTGTGTTTCTTCTGCCCTGGAAGGTTGACATTAGTAGAGTGTAAGAGCTGAGAAGTCAGATTTGGATTTGGAAAAAAAACAGGCAAAGCTGCCGTGGGCCAACTTGGGTGGTGGTTTCTTAGGTTTTCCTGGCAGAGGGAAAAGGAGACCTTTATACGATTCTGCCTAGCTCCTTAGAATATTGCACTAAGATTTGAGTGCCAAAGCCACATTAATAAGTAAATAAACTGTAGTACTAGTATTAGTAGTGATGATATCAATAGTAAATCTTTCTTGAGCACTTACAGTAAGCCAGGAACTATTCCAAGTATTTATATTAATTCATTTATTCCACACAACATCCTCCTAGATATGATTATTCTTTTTTTGAAAAGCACAGTAAGGTTAAATAACTTGTTCAAGGTCAGCCATCTAGTTAGTGGTGGGAAGAGAATTTGAACACAGGAAGTTTAGCTCCAGGGCCCATGTTCATGACTATTATACCATTATCCCTTCAAAAACCACAGAGGCAATAGAAAAATTCAGCTTATGCTACCTTACATATTTTAACTTATGCAGAACTTCCAACAACACTATGGGGTAGAAGCAATTATTCCACACACTTTACAAAAGAGGAAACTGAGACAAAGAGGGATTACATTGGTTTGGTATTTTTCCAGCTACTCTTTAGTGCATCTATTTTCCTTTGGGATCTTAGAGGCAAAAAGGACTATAACAGGTATCTCGGGCATTCCCAGACTCTCACCCAGCAATAGTGCCCCAAAACATTATTAGCTACCACTGGTAATTGAAGTCAGTAAAATTTTTATCTGTAGAAGGAGGGAGCACTCAACTGCACATGTACTCAGGAACTATAAATATTAACTTGGCCTCCACCTACTTTTGAAAAAAAATCTCTAAAAGTTTCTTAGATTTTTTGATAGTTAAAATGATTTCTTTCCCTGTCACAAAGAAACCAGAGCAAG